CCCCCCCCCCCCCCCCCGCTAAAATTAGCCGCTTCTCCGGAGTCCGTTCTTCACTCTTGGGAGCCACCGCCACTGTATACAGCGCCACTTGGGTGATCTTCTTCCAGCCCGGGGCATCTGCTCATGGGACCGACCTCCTTTTCCACTTGGTTTATGGACAGCTTGACTTTTTGCAGGGAGCACTTTTGCAAAGCCCCCAGCCTGCTCTGTGTCCCTCCTTGTCCCCCTCCCCCCCTCCGCCTGGAGCCTTTCTCTTCATCGAACTCCACTAGAGAAGGTGACCTGGCCTGCTGTGCCCTTAGTGGGCTCAGGCCTTGGAATTCTAGCTTCTAAGGCACATGTTGGATTGGGGGCCACATGAATGGTAGAAAGATCTCCTTCGATTTGAGACTTTTGATTGCTTAGCTATTGCCAGAGGTAGGGATCGAAAATATGGGAGGCCAGGTGGTCAACCCTCTGCTGATCCTGGCTCTGCTTGGTTAACAAGCTGAACTCACCTAACAAGGCAGTCCTGAGGAAAACCTGGAACTCTCCAAACTCAACAAAAGCACAGGTTTGGAGAGTTGGGAGGGAGTGACTTCAGCAGCCATCAAGACCTCCCTGCTGTGCCTGAAAGGCTGGGGAGGCCCATGGGGGTCTGGGATTTTGTGTCCCTGAATTGATTGGACAATTTCATTTGGTTAGGCAGCTCTGCAGTGAGGGCAAGTTGACTTGCCCAGCTCACACAGCCGGTGTTATGCCATAGAAGGAACTTGGGCTCCCCAGCTCACCTATCTGGCCAGCCCACCATACAGCCTCTCACTACGACTCAGGCTTCCCCACCAAGGAAGGACTTGCAAAGCCCTATGATGGGAACCTGTGAGCCGTTATTATTACTCAGATGACTGTGTTGGTAGACGTAGGTGAATATGACGTTCCTTCCATTTATATAGCACACATGTTCCTAGCCCCTTAGTACCTTGGGCAGAGGAATGGATAACTATGGGTACCCTGTTATATAACTGAAGAAAAACAGAGGCTCCAAGACATTGTAACTGACCCAGCTCCACGCCCTCAGTCAAGTGTCTGAGCCATATTCCCACAGACCAGTCCCTCCAGTTTGTCCCAGAAACTGCTTCCAAACCTGTTGTTGTTGTTGTTGTTGAGGAGGAGGAGTTTCTGACTTTGTGACCCCATTTAGGGTTTTCTCAGCAGAGACATTAGATGAGTTTGCCATTTCCTTCTCCAGCTCATTTTGCAACTGAGGCAAACAGGGTTAAGGGACTTGCCCAGGGTCACACAGCTAGTAAGTGCGTGAGGTCAGATTCAAACTCAGGGAAAGGAGTCTTCCTGGCTCCAGGCCTGGCACTCTATCCACTGCACCACCCAGCTGCCTCCAAACCCGTATGGCAGGGTTAACCCTCAGAAGTCTTACACCAGCTGAAATTGATTACTCCCCAGTCCTGTGGCAAGAGCTCCAGGCTCCCACATAAGCCTTTCTTCTTCCCCCAAAGTGGATGACTTTGTACTTGACCCAACTTGTCACTCATCTAAAAAGCCATCAGTGCTGCAAAGTTCCCCTGAGAGGCAGAAATAGCAGAAACAAACTCATGCCACGTGGACTCGCTCAGCGCCTGGGTTGGTGTCATGTAAGTTAATCAAAGGTAGCATGCAGCAAGGGCTTGGTTTGTTCAAAAAGTCATCTTGGTTGTTGTTTTTAGCAGAGGGAAGGGAAGCTAGCACCAACTCTTCTTTGGGCTGCTGGGAAAGGAGACTGAATTGGCCCTTGACAGAAAGCCAGGCTGAGTCTGAAGATGGCCACTTCCCATCTGAGTTGATGGCCCTACTAGGATCACTTGATGAAGGGAGTCTGATGCTGCCTTGAATTGTTTTGGTGGCGAGTACATTAGGAAGCTTGAACACTGCAAATGTGAGGCAGAGAGAACTAAACTTTCTGTAAAATGGAAAAGAAAACGCAACTTTCCTCCCACCGCCATGGCTGCTGTCAGCGCTTTCTTAGGAGCCTTCGTCACTTGTGTGGGAGCTGTTCTCTGTAGGGCAGGAGGAAATGCCCAAGAAACTTTCTTACTGACTGGCCTTTTGTCCAAGGTGGGGTTGGGAGGGGGACCGTGGATGCAAAGTACTTTTTCTAAAAGCCAACTCCTTTATCTGTCTGAAGTGTTGGGGGGTGGCGCTAATGAAAAGTTCTCTTAGAATTTCCATAGTTAGGAGAAGCCTGATTTTACTTTGGTTTTCAGAGTAATCACATAGGTTGGTATGTTTGTTTGAAATTGGTCTGTGACCATCTTGTGGCTATTTCAGAAATGAATCTTGGCTATAGCTCCCAAAGCCCTTAACAGAGAGAGAGAGAGAGAGAGAGAGAGAGTGTGTGTGTGTGTGTGTGTTAGCCTCAGAGACTTGAGTTAAAGGCCTCAACCAAATATTTGGGATGACCCCTTTCAGTGCCTTGTGGCGAGCCTACTGGTAGCTTTGTGCCTTGTTGGGCATATGTGATTTCAGCTTTGGAACAGTAGAAATTTCACTTCTTCTGTTACTTGGAAGAAATTTTGACTCATGGCAGACTTTTCATTGATGGCGGGGGGGGGACGGGGGGGGGCCTCTGTGAAGCTACTTAGTGATATGCCCTGAGTTCAGAGGGACCTGTAAGAAAACATCTAGACCAAACCCCTCTTTTCTACTGAAGGAAGTGGAAGCCTAGGTTAGATTGGGATTTAACTGAGGCCATCCAGGTTAATAAGGAGCAGAGCCAGGACTTGAACTCAGTTCCTTTAGATGACTCACCTGGCATTTATTTCACTGGGCTGCATTGGTCCTCCTGCACTTGCCCTGGAATCGTTGGGGCTGTGTTTTATCTTCTTATCTGGAGTCTTCCCAGGCTGTACTCTAAACAGTTAGGCAGGAAATGATCCCCTTGACCTCAGCACTTTCCAGGCAGACACCTCTCTGACGACAGATGCTGCCATTCTTGCCCAAGGAGAAGCAGCATGGCCTAGGAACTAGGGTCAGAGATATACAGAAGAAAGTGGCTTGGTCAGCTCACAGGCACTTTTGAGGCCAGCTTGATGGCATGTCAAACTGCAGACATCAACACATAGTTGCAGAGTCTTTCCCCTGGACCCTGCTCTTTGTCCTTACCAAACACTTTGTGTAAGTAGCATCACCATTCACTTAGGTGCCCATGTTTGACCTCTTGGTATTTATTTTTCAGCAAATTAATGTGGGTGTGGTGTTGACCTGAGCCATAGGTGGAGCCTTGGAACAGGGCTGAGGAGGGAGGGGGTGGCGGCGGGGTCTCCCTCTAGTCATGAGTTTGCCCTGAGACTTGGGAAGGGCCTTGGTATGGATAGACTGTTGTGACTGGCTCAGGGTCCTGGCCTATCTCCTGTACTTCGGCAGTCTTCATTTCAAATCTCTTTAGA